TTTACGTCATGAACTAGTGTTTTCTCCTTCACAGAAGATTTATGTTTAGATACGTGCTAAAAAGGTTTGAGAAAAAATAAAATTAGCAAGCTCTACTGTGTTGTTTATATGATAGCAACCGTTATAGCGTTCTGTGAAACACACTACATTATAATGGGTATAATTCATTTTCTCTTTAGCCTCGTCCGAACGGCTGGAGCTGCGTTGGTGGGGTTAATTGAAGATGTAGATTTGCATAATTGTGTTGATCTGTTAGGAATGTGGGTTGCAAATGGGAAGAGGGCATTTGATTTACGAGAGGGGCCGGGGGCGGCGAGGGCGGTTTGGAGAGGGCTGCATACCGCGACCCGGTTGATTTGATTTGTCGACGCCCGAGCCTGTTGGTACGGCGACCAAGGCCATCTTTACAACCCTCCGACACATAGACACGATCACATATGAAATATATGCGAACCGTCCTCACTGCCCGTTTCATTTGCCACCGGTACTACAACGCACCCCAATGCCGAGCACGGCTGCACCAAACTGAAACTGCATTCGGGTCTTTTTTTTTTGGGGGGGGGGAATCTGAGATAAATAAAAATGCAAACGATATATTTTTTGTGTTTTGTATGATTGATATCGTACAGTTTCTTCATAGGAATGAACAGCTCAATATGAAAAAATTAACAAATTAAATTAAACAAATTAGATGTAACGCGAAACGCTTAGGATCTCCTCTCGTTGAAAATTTGGCCTCACTGTAAAGCCTAGTACGCACTGGAATGCATTGTTTGGAATCTGTCGCAGACTCTCGGATACATGTCGCAGACTCTTTGCCCTGCAACATTGTCGCTGCGGAAATCGTGAAACCTATGCGGAAACCTAACAAAAAGTCACCACGTTGGTGACTTAGTGGTATATTCAAGGATCGAAATAAGCATGGGCACAATCTTCTTGTCGCACTGAGATTGGAAGGGGGAATGGGATTCCGAAATTTTATTAGGATGAGTCCAGTCGACTGCGAATGTCTCTTGGAAATGGTTGGACCACACATTTCGAAAAAGGAGATGAATTTTAGGGTGCCAGTTTATGCTACCAACAGGCTAGCAATCATTCCATTTCCTCCCAAGTGGAGGCTCTTATGCAAACCTCATGTGCAAGCCTAACTTCATATTTTTGGGCTAACAACCACAGTGTCTGCTTTTTTTTCTCCTGTCTTTGTAATCCTGTCAGGAAACGTCCTAACATTGCCCTATTTGTAAATCTTAGTCAATGTTGTGCGACATTGAGTAGAGAATCCTATTTATGATGGGATTCAAAAAATATTAAAACACATCATATTCAAGGCTCATTGTCGCGGAGCGTCCCGGAAGCAGGAAAATGTATCCGAGACAAAGCACCGCGGCAAAGAGTCCGAACAAAGAATCCCAACTACGCTTAAATAAAATACTATTTTGATTAAGGATATCTCCCTGTAGTCTGTAGGGCGATGACACCGTAATTTGGTCGTTACGGATCATTTTGGTTGGCCTAACCTTGCTTGGTTGGCCAACCAAACGCGTTTCTGAAATTTGCCATCTAAAACAGTACCTGACTAAAACTGTACTGACAAAATAAAGATATAGAACTGAAAATAATAAAAAAATATTGCACGCAGTAACGGCATCAACACAAACACGTCCAACAAAATAACAAATAAAACCCACAAAAACAAAACGACACCACAAAAACAGAAATTAAGCAGACTAGGATAAAGAGGAAGAAACGTATAAACTATCCAAACACTAAAGAACACAAACACATATGGAAAACTACAAAAAGCAAGGTAAAACATTGGCAATACCAACGTACCTGTTAAAAATGGCATATACGACATAAAACGCGAATGCGGAGACAAATATATCGGACACAAATAAAAGACAAGGACAAATAACATATAAGATCGTTTAAGGACAATGCCCGAAAGGCAAACTACACGACTCACCTCACACAAAACCATCACGAACCCTCAGCAATACAGACAAGCATGAAATTACCAGAAGGATGACAAATGAACATACTTGTAATCTTGGAATATACAAACATAACACATTTACCACTAAAAATAACTAATAACCACACAAATTAACAAGAGTTCCATGTACATCTTTTACACACACTAAACACTATACCAATTAAAAAGAAAAGTATACACCATCACAGAGACCGTCGAAACAATCGATTTAAAAATTTAAAAAAAAAAACCTACCAAAAGTACTAAAAAGCAAAGATAACGCCGACAGACATACCCCACATGTCTCGATTTAATAGATTTAATAAAAGAGATTTCACATCACAGAAATCAAATAGACACACTGAAGATGTTAACAAAAGTGTTTGAATGACCAATCCAGCGAGGATAGGCGGACAAAAATGATCACTAACGACTAATTGTCATGTACAATTATATTCATCTTTATAACATTTCATTAGGCTGTAAAAACCTGAGAGTGGTTGTTGGAGTTTAATATTTCATAAAAAAAACGTAAGCCAATCACAAGAGAGATCGCATCAATGACTAATTGCAATGATAAAATAAGCCTTTTTGAGCTTCCCCCTATTTTCCATTTACTCACGAAGAATGGGCGTCTAACTTGTTAAGTCGTTTTATTAAAGCAATGTTTCCAATAGAAACAACTCCCTTGAAAAGTCGTATTAATAATTTATTCGGCTGAAGAAATGAACATTTCTCTTTTTTGCCCCCTTTTCTTACCAGGGTAAAAGGCGAGCTACTTAATTTTATTAATGGGCAACTCAGTTATTTATTCGGTGGGCGGAGAACCTGAGACAATTGAATGGAGAGGCTGCATGATTTAAAAAGCACACCGACAAGTGATTTTGAATAATTTACCACGTTGGCGGTTTGCGGATAATCACACAAAAGACATCCAGGAGAAGATTAAACTATTCGTCTGTCCCCAGTTTGCAGATAATATATTAAAATGTAAATTAATAACTTCTTTCACTCATTTCCTCTTTTGTCATATTAAACAATAATTTTACTTGTGCCTTCTTTTTCTTTTTTAAAAATATAATCTGTTTACTTTCAGAGAAATGAAAAGTTCAAAACCTCTTCGATAATGACGAAAGGATGTTTGCTTGCCTACCTATTTATTTTTTTAATTACTTGCATAAATTGCTTTCTGTTTTTCTTCGCTAATAAATCTAACAATGGCCTAAAAATTGGTTTATGCATTTTTCATGGTATTTTATGGTATCGATGAGTTATTAACAGATTTATGGCTTTCAATCCTGCTTATATTACAATACAAATATACGAAAATCAAGAGGGCGCCAACGGTTTTATGTACATTTTATTAACCAAATGCATTTTTCTTTTTAATAAAATTTCACCAAGTTTAAATTAATAATAAAATTCTCCTTAAAATTTAAGCTGGTTTGTGAAGTTTTATGCCCGGAATTAAATTTGAAAGATGTTCGCCCGAGCTAAATGGGCATAAGACCAATGACACCAAGTGCACATTGCGCGGTCGTTGACGACAGGCAACATCTTTAGTCTAATTGCAGTCGGTATCGGCCTAGAATTCTGCTGATTAAACCGGTTCAACCGTTGTTACAACCTCTAAGTAAATCGAGGACCGCCTGCTGATTACTACTCTCCCCCCAAAGCCTCCGACAACCCCCGTCCTTTACTTCTCAACGTGCCGAAGGTAAGTGATTTGATTCCGTTGATTAATCAACAAGCATGGCGGTCGACTAATGATTCTGCCTAAATTGGGAATCGTGGAAAACGTTTGGCTAACAAATTTTCTTACATCAACCCCTTTTATCCTAGAGGTACTTTTTTCTTTTCTGCCCGTTCCCTTGGCATGCCACCGCTCATCGGCAAATGCCCGCACCCTTTTTCCATTTAGTTGCGTGTTGATGGAAAAGGTTCTAAAAACGGCCATTAGTCAACAAAAACACACGCACACTCATGTAAAACACCGTATTATTTTTAAAACTGTCCTCCTTTTTACTTTCCTCGGCTAAAGATATTTGATATATTTTTATGTTAGAACGAGGTACAATTTTTCAATAATTATGTATAAATACGACAGTGGGTTAAAAAATCGTAATTTTTAAAATAAATATTTCTATAGTGAACGACCTTGAACAATTTACGGGCTACTGAAATTACTTCAATACAATATACATATATAATAAAAATGTGGTGTTTAGTGGGCACTCTCCACACGACAGACAAATGACACATCTACACAGAAAACAAACACTTTGAGCCCTGAAGATGATCTTAATAAAGACGGAAACGTTGGCACGATAAAGAAAATGGTTTTCTAAAACCTCGTCACGCCAGACCGCATCTCACGATCTCCGAATAATCATATATAATAAAGTTTAACTCGAGCGGTTTTTAAAAGGTAAGGTACTAAAACTGATTTAAACTGCGAAAGTAGATTCGTTTCAAACCAAACATGCTCGCAGGTGTCCTTCCGAATCGTCACCTATCTCAGTAGTGAGGGCAGCATTTCCACCTTGATTCAGGGCAAAAATCCACTTTGATAACAGGTAGTGGAGGGTGAAAGAGTCGGAGAGGTGGATAGAGAGTCGACTGGGCTCATAAATGATGCACAAGAGAGGACCAATGAATACAGTATCAGCTAATCGCGCAGTCTGGACCGACCATTTACAACGAAAATTACCAAACATGGGACCCGTCATAGTGCCGCCTTCCCTCCGGCCATCATTTGCATTTTTACAATGTGATCGCACTCTCTTTTACATCACAATCTGGGCGGTAGTTAATTTGTTTTCACCCCTAAGCCTGCATCCGATCATCCCATTACACAGAACGAAGTTTTATTTACATTGGAAAAATTTCGCCGGAACGCGCTTTTACCTACTAATAACTTAGTATTGGTAAAAAATTTACTTCAACCCAATTTTAAAAAATACGAGTGAAATTACATTTCATGCAGTTTACTAAGTCCTTATTCATTATAAAGTTATGTATTTACCTGAAACCAGTCTCCACGATCGCTCTGAAACAAAAACAATATTATATCATTTGAAAACACAGTAAAGTTTAAATTATAAATTAAGAACAACAATCTGACCAGCATTATCAGAAATTTTACAAAAAGGCCATGTTTATTTGCTATTAAGCGATATCCGTATCTTCCGTCCGATTTTTCATATCGAATGGAATGGTAGAGAAAAGGATCAATTTTATAGGGAAAAATGTCAATCTAAGAAAAAAAAAAGGACGCAGAACAAAGGAGCCAGGTCGATCAAGATGGATAAAAAGTCAACAATTATAAAAGTTTTTTCAATTAATTAAGGTGTTTACTTGAGATAAAAAATTCAGTGTCACGAGCGGGATTCGAACCCACGATCTTCGGCTAGATACGCCGCTGCTCTACCACTTGAGCTATCGTAACCTCGAACCACTCAGACACCAACTTCCCATCATAACCCCACCTTTGAATTTTCCCTCCTTTTTGCCATTTTTCAAATGTCGAGTAATCTAGCGGATAATAATAAACGGACCACGAAAACTAGTGAATTTAAAAAGTTAAAATGAAGTATACTTCACTAAAGCTCTCCGTGGACATTTCATTTGTTGCCGATAATAGATTACACGACATTTGAAAAATCGTGACAATAACTTTTTCATTTCAACCAATACCTTACATGGAAGGATTAGTAATAAAATTGGTACTAATAAACTTACAGAAAAAGATTAATTAATATTCAGAATTAAGATTTCAAAAAAACTTTTTAAGCTCAAGTATACTTTATTATTTTTAAATATTAATTCTGAATATTAATTAATCTTTTTGGGTAAGTTTATTAGTACCAATTTTATTACTAATACTTCCATGTAAGGTATTGGTTGAAATGAAAAAATGTCACAAGCGGGATTCGAACCCACGACCTTCGGCTCAATACGCCGCTGCTCTAACCACTTGAGCTATCGTGATCAAGTGGCTAGAGCAGCGGCGTATTGAGTCGAAGGTCGTGGGTTCGAATCCCGCTCGTGACAATAACTTTTCATTTCAACCAAAACCGTACACAAAATGATTAATTAATTGAAAGAAGTAATTTGGCAATCAGGCCACTAAATATAATGGATCTAATTCTTAACGTTTTTCATTATGTGTTCTACATACGGAATCCTGTTTTTGGAATATTTTTTTTAGAAAAACAAGCAAAAGGAGCAATTGAAGTCTTAGATTCTACGAGCAATTACGTAAAATTTCGCTTATTTATAAATCTATTTTTCTATGAGTTCTTCACCTCTCATCGAAACATTGTTACCAGTAATCTTGTTGGTTAGATTTGATATTATTTTTTATAGAAGTATTTCTAGAGAGAACAGGAGAGCTGACAGATAATATGTTGTAATCGGATTTTGAATTAAATTAATATACAATTTATCATAATTTCGTCAAGAAATAATATACATTGTTAAGCTGTTGGAAAATTATTAATTAATAACTACGAAGCACGTATAGTAAATATTGCGTAGGTGGAACGATTATAAAGACAGTACTGTGCTGAGTAAACAGACTCAAGCAAAAACACACTGGCACAAGATAGTTGTAGAACAAATAGAAATATTTAATATTAAAGCATGCCAGTTAAATATTCATATCAGGTTTGATTTAAATTTAATATATCTACTTCCAAATTCTCTCAGTTATTAAAGGTAGTGAGAAGGGCCAAATAATTACTGTAGTCGGGTGATAATGGCCTGAGGCCTGAGGATGAGAGCATCCACGTAAGGCTCCCACGTAGCAGCACTTCATCTTCAAATGTCTCAGATTCTTTTAGGCGAGAATTAGCGGACGATGCGGGAAGTAGCGAGTGTTTTGAAAGATGACCGCCATATCTTTGAAATATGGACAACGCCCGAAAAATTGTAATCCGCTCCCAAGAGGGTGGCGGCCCGAGCCTGTAATTGATACAAATCGATGGGAGGTGGCCACCCAGGGGCAGTTTAATCAAATAAAGGATCACGCGATCCACCCTTTCTATCACCGGTACGGTCCTGAACGGCTTCGAACGGGGTAAACAAACTGCAACCCCCTTTGGCCAGAATAGACTCGACCCAAGACCCTAACTAAAAAATTCGAGGAATGCAGTTCCATCCAAGTTGACCTCTGTTCCACAATGGGACGAACTCAAAGGCCCTTTCTATCTGGATGTCACGTACTATCATCGTGTTATATTTGGTTTTAAACAACCAAAACCATCAACTAAATAAAAATAAATACCACAAAAATAAAAGATCGATGTGGGGAATCTGAATACAGGAATTGCCATAATAATAGACATGTGTAAAATGAAGCATATCTTAACGAAAGCTCTCGTGGCCATTTCATTTGTCGCCGAGAATCGAATAGATTACACGACATTTGAAGTATGGCAAAAAGGAGGGAAAATTAGTAAGGTTGGGTTGAGATATGGGAGGTTTGTGTCCCAGTGGATCGAAGTCGGGGGTTCGAATCCCGCTCGTGGCACTGACTTTTCTATCTCAACCAATATCTTACATAAAGATTAATTAATTGAAAAAAGACCACGAACTGTAATGAATTGGATACTAATGTGATAGGTCTGTCGGGTATCTACATTCCGCCATTGACCAGCCCGTTCGCAGCATATAAATACGTTTATGCAAAGACATAAAAGCCACCTGTTGAGGTTATTCAATATATAACCATATGCTTATATTGATTTTGGATATTCAAGGAGATTATCTTTATAATCACAATTGGGCTTTAATATTTTCGGTAAATTGTTAAACAGACTACGTTGAATTCTGCGCTAGTCGTTCACACTCTCCTAAAATATATTTCACTGCCACAGTCTGCACGAATATTGGACACTTGGGTCTGTTGCTGATGAAGAAGTGCCCGAGTGTGGCCTATTATCCTTAAAAGTTTTAAAATAATTCAGTATCCCTTTTTTATCTTCCTCAAGGTTTCACTGTTGGCAAATGCCTTGACATACTTAACAATGTTCTGTACCATTTCACATTTTATTTTAAGAAAAAAAAGGAAAATGAATAAAAAAAAATAAATTATGCTTATTCATGTTCTGCATCATTACTGGGAAAAATGGGTGGGACTCGACAGTACCAATACCATCCATTTGGCAACGTTTTGGTTCAGCTGATTCAATTCTTGGTAATTATAGCCTTCCAGTCAAGCGTCTATCTGGATTTATCGATCATTGATCATGATTAAACGGACGGTAAGGTTGAATTATTCGAGAGTTTAATGCATCATTCGTATGCTACAACTGGCTGATTATCGACCCTAATAGTGGCTTCAAATTCCACCACGAGCATCTGTATTATAAAACTAAATGTCTGAATTATATAGAGAAGATAAGATGATTTGAGGAGATGCAAAACTGCGGATAATCGTCTGGATAATTTACAAATGATTATCTATTGCAGGTTATCATTAATTGTAAAATATTCGTATATGTATGAAGTATTTGATGCAATTTTGTTTGTGGATTTATTTTACTTTCAGCTTGCGCAGATGGCACAGCTCCATTCCAAGATTACACATTATTTTCAATATTCATAACATACCTCGATAAATAAACCAATATTGCACAAAACAAGGCTTGTATATAGTTTGCGTGTTAAATGTAAAATTTGCCAAAATAGGATAATTCAATGCCTTGTCTCCTTCCCATGTACAAAAACCCAATGTCTCACCCATATTGCTGATCGTTGGAAAAATCGTTAAAAAAATGACTTGTATTTTGAGAATTTTTTTAATACAACAGGGCAACATGTTATTTAATTTTTAAAATAAACTCTCGTAGAAAATTCACATTGTTTTAATGTGGAAATTTAATACTGCCGGCAACAAACAAAATATTTTACATTCTCCGATTTTTTATTGACAGGGGTGGTTTTCATTCATAGGTCCATTTAATAAAGAACATCTGTTTTCCAAAAATAATATTAACTGCAATTATTTAACGATTGAATACTGCGACTGATCAACAATAAAATATCCTTCGAAATACTGCGTAATTAACGTTGGATAATTTTAAAAACCTAACCTTCCCTGGAAGTCAGGTTGGTTGTACACTCAAATTACGCTCCTGAAAAAATAACATATTTTACGGTAATTGTAACGATTAAAAGAAAAAGGCATCGTGGTGGGCCGGATCGGCAGATATATCGCGTATCAAGAGCAGTCGATAGGAGGCCCACGGAGGACCTAACTCGTGGCAAAAGGGTTATCCTCACACGATTATGATAGGACGTGCGAGATAGACACACGGATACTTACTTTTGAGCCGAAATTTGCGTACGTGTCCGGCATGCAGAGAAACTTACTAGATGTGTTTTACCTAATTGGGTGCAAATCGTTGGCTCTGTAAAGAGAGTGTGTAGGAATGCCTCTCGATCAATTGCGCTAGGGCCCAACAGCGCGTATCGGAGTGTCATGTTCTGATTCTTGGACAGACTTGTTTTAATGTACAAATTAATTTCACTAATTTTCTATTTTATCTCAACTAAAAACCTTAATTAATTGTAAGATATTAATTGGTCAAGCGGACCACGAAATTAGTGAATTTAATAAGTTTGAAATGAAGTATACCTTCACCAAAGGTCACCATGGACATTTCACTTGTCGCCCAGAATTAAATAGATTACACGACATTTGAAAAATGGCAAAAAGGAGGGAAAATTCAAAAGGTGGGGTTGAGATGGGAAGTTAGTGTCCGAGTGGATCGAGGTCATGAAAGCTCAAGTCGTAGAGCAGCGGCGTATCTAGCCGAAGAGCGTAGGTTCGAATCCCGCTCGTGCCATTGAATTTTTTATCTCAACTAAAAACCTTAATTAATTGTACTCCATATTAATGATTATTAGTAGTATAGTATCCCTAGAGAATGATAATAGTGATGGTATTTAGAATCGTAAATGTGTGTTGTGAGGAATATCGACCCCAACACTTTGTGTAAATGGTAATGCATATGTAATGTGTATGTATATAACAACCGAGCA